TAAGGTTCGATCCCTGGACCAGAAAAGATCCCCTGGAGAAGGAAGTGGCAACCCACTTCAGTGTTCTTGCCTGGGAAATCCCATGGACAGAGGAGCCTGGCGGGGCTATAGTCTATGGGATTGCAAAAGAGTTGGACGTGACTTAGCAACTAAACAACAACAATCTCTCCATGTCTTTACTCTTAAATTCCTTTTCTGTGACTGATGCCTGGTTCCTCTCTACTTCTCTTCCATTTGTCTTGAGAAATTCTCAATATAGTTTTCTCATCACTCCTTAATGGTTTCTGTGACATTGGTAGCACTGGATGCTTTTCATTTGCCAACACTGAGTAGCTTTCAAACTTGTGATTGTGGCAGGGCATTATAAATGAATTTTACAAGATAACTTAGTACATGCATTCATATATGTATGTAACTGAAACAGACTACTTGAAACAGTACTTATATTTCACGTGAGACTCTAATTTCTGTTCCATTGCATTGATGCTTCTTATGAATTACTAATGGGATTGCAACTCCCAATTAAAACAAAAACAGAAACACTGCCTTCATGTATAGCTCCTGTGTTACTTGCGGGTCATTTTGCCTTCTGAGAATCACTAGTCCTTTCTTATACAGCCTCTCCTGAAAAGCCTTCCTGACCCAAGCTTTTCCTGCCAGCACCCCTGACTTGCAGGGCTCTTTTCCCCACAGAGCCCCCGATCCCCTGCAGCCTGGATGTGAAATGCAGTCCTAGCCTAGCACTTGTACAGTGACCTCTGTGGTCATCAGCACATAGTAAAATTCAGATCACATCCTTCAAGTGCATTTCCAACCTAAAGACCAACCGTCTGTGTTGTTTCTTGAATGGGTGTGTTCTTTGAGAAACTGGTGCTCATTTATTTTGTGAGGACCGCTAAGCCTGGTGTCTACTTCAAGGCTGGCAGCTCCCGCCCAGTGTGCACCAGAAGAAATGCCTGAGGGCTGTGTTGGGGTTTCCCTGAAGCTGTTGTGATGGTCCCCAGGCTTTGGGGCCCAGTGACATTCCCACACACTTCTCCGTGGACATGGCACCCTTGTCCCTTCTTATTTAAAAAAGAACAGTTACTTTAAAGGGGCATGGGGGAGAGTGGGCATATATATAGTTAATCATCATTTGGAACACAAACTCTGAGATAGTATATTTATTTCACTTTTCCAGTAATGGAATATAGATTTTTGTTTCCCCTTATGCAACACATCTCAAGGGCTCCATTTTGCGTTGTCATTACGTTGGGAAAATATCTGATGGCTTGTCAGAAGGGAGCATTTATAATTGTGTTTCTAGCCTGCACATTTTCAGCCTCTGGAACAGCGTGACAGGTAATTGAGGTTGAAATTGACAGCATTTACCACTTAAAAATGAGCACAAGAAATGCCAGTATGCACTGTGTGAAGTGGAAACTAATTTGGTTTTTGTAAGCACTAGACAGCATATTAAAAAGCAGAGGCATTACTTTGCCAACAAAGGTCAGTCTAGTCAAGGCTATGGTTTTTCCAGTGGTCATATATGGATGTGAGAGTTGGACCATAAAGAAAGCTGAGCGCTGAAGAATTGATGCTTTTGAACTGTGGTGTTGGAGAAGACTCTTGAGAGTCCCTTGGAGTGCAAGGAGATCCAACCAGTCCATCCTAAAGGAGATCAGTCCTGAGTGTTCATTGGAGGGACTGATGTTGAAGCTGAAACTCCAATACTTTGGCCACCTGATATGAAGAGCTGACTCATTTGAAAAGACCATGATGCTGGGAAAGATTGAGGGCAGGAGGAGAAGCAGACAACAGAGGGTGAGATGGTTGGATGGCATCACTGACTTGATGGACATGGGTTTGGGTTGACTCTGGGAGTTGGTGATGGACAGGGAGGCCCGGCATGCTGTGGTTCATGGGGTCGCAAAGAGTCGGTCACGACTGAGCGACTGAGCTGAAGCACTTAGGATTAACAGGGGAAGTTCCCAGGTGGCTCAGCAGTAAAGAACCCACCTGCCAATGCAGGAGACGCAGATTCGATCCCTGGGTCGGGAAGATGCCTTGGAGAAGGAAATAGCAACCCACTCCAGTGTTCTTGCCTGGGAAATCCCATGGACAGAGGAGCCTGGCAGGCTACAGCCCATGGGATCACTGAAGAGTTGGACACAACTGAATAACTAAACAACAACAAGAGTTAACATGATGCTTGGTAGAAGTCATTTTGTAATGGAAACTATTTAAATGATTTGAATATTGTGTTTTCATAACATTGGTGCAGGGTGTCGTCCTGTGGCAGTGGTGACCTCAAGATGTTGTGATGGCCTCAAACCTTGGCTCTCCAGGGCCCACAGGTGGGGACCCAGCACCCCCCAGGTGTCCTGGAAATAGCCCTGCTTCTCATTTTGGCGAAGAGGCCACGCATTTTGACTCTGTGGTTTGCTCCTAGCACTCTTCAATAGTGATATTGGAGGCACATTTTATCATTGGTGTAGTGTCACTAATCTAAATATTCTACATTGTTTGAAAGGTCTGTAGTTCTGGCAACAGTGGAATGTTTTGAAACCTAGATCTCACCAGCATGTTCCAGTGACTGGCGAATCACTTGTTTAAGCCAATTCCTCTCGACCATATGCTGTTCTATACACTTGATCCCCATTTTATTTTTAAAATGATTTTATTACCGTTACCCTTGATGTAAACCAGAAAATAAGAGCCTGGTGAGGTTGCCTCATCTTCTTCTGTTATAGGAACTGTTGGGTGTCTTTTTTTTCTTTTTAATGAGAAAGTTTGTTAAGGTACAAGTGAAGCCATCTAGCTTTGCAGCAAGTACCGTGGGGATCCATTAAACTGCTCCTTTGAGGAATGGAGCTGAGTTGGAACAAGAGGTTTTGTTAAAGATAACATGCCAGATGGGCATTTTAGGCAGAACCGTCCTCCCCAAAGCCTCATAAACTGCACTGTCATCAGTCCCTTCTCATCCACACTGTTGAGAGCAGGCATCCTGATGAGAAGCCCAAGGCTGGTGCCTAGCCAAGTTGTCCTGCTGTTAATGGGATGGGGACAAAGTATTGGTTAAAAGCCCAGACTCTGGAACCAGTCTACCCAGCTAGGAACCTCTCTGGTCCCATCTGTAAAATGGGCATAGTATCTGTGCCCATCCACTACAGCTGCTCACTGGGATTCAGCATGGCCTTAACACGGTACCTGCTTTGCCACCGTAGCCCTTAGCAGCCAGCGCCTGTCTCTGGATTCAGATGGTGAGCTCATCTGATGGGTTTAGAGGTCTTAACATCACCCTCGCAAAACAGCGTGGACATGTGGATTTTTTGTGAAGATGACCTTCAGGTTAACAATTGATAGGGTAGCCAATGAGAGCAGATTATGAAACAGAGCTCTGGGATCAAGCTGTCTCCTTCTGATGGTTGTCTCCCTGTGTCCTTTTCCTTCACGGCATCAGCACCAGTAGCCAGCCGGGAGAGGGACAAGGATAGAACCTCATCACTCTCAGTGGGTAGACACACAGTCTAGAGTCAGGAGTCCGGCAGCTCTGCGTTTCTAGTAGTGAAATCAACTGACATTTACACTATAGTTAAATCAGCCACATTCAGAATGGGACTGCTCCCTAATTGGACAATGGAAATGTCTGTGCTGACTGTTGCTTGTTAAGAGGTACGTCTTTGGCACCTTATGGCCTTCTGCATGGTGGGCAGAGGCAGATGTATCTGAGGAAATAGGAGAAAACAGCCTCATCAGCAGGATGGGGACTCTTCTCAGGCTTTGGCACACTTAGCCAGTGGTGATGTTGATCTTTCGTTACCCTTCACACATTGTTAAGAGGAGACAGACAGCTTTCTAGTCAATCAAATTTTAAAAACTACTTAAAGGGACATCCTAAGTATGGAACAAATCGTTGCAGTAACTCTCGTTCACATTTACCTGCTGCCACTTTTTAAATGCAGGAGAATTTTTTTCAAGTACACTTTAAAAGTTCCTTTTATAAATTAGAAAATTTCACAGTAAAGACTGAAAATAGAGCCCAGAGTTTGCAATCTGGAACTCTGGATTCTCTTTTGGGTTCTTCCTCAAGCTGGTAGTGGGACGAGTCTGATGGTGTCTGTGAAGAACTTTCTAACTATCACAGGCATTTTGAATGTGGGCGTTTTTGTTTGTTTTGACGAGGTTGATGAGGGTAGCAGAAATCATCGTCATGTTTCCTCCAATTCACACTGCGGGCCATCTGGGCATCAGGGGCTGTGACACACATGCCCCTAAAGCAGGACATTGTATCGTATGACCTGTTGGACACCCCGGGGTCCAGGCCAGGGCCCCTGACCCTAACTCTAAGACTTACCATGACTCCCAGAGCCTGAAAGGGCACATGTGAGCTTATCCACATAAATTTTCATTGAGGTCTGTGCAGTAGATGTAGGAGAAAGAAGTACCATGTGTCCAAAAATATAACCAGTGGACAATCCACAGACTTAGATTGTGAAGCAGTATACTTCCTAGGTTGAAAGTTCAGGGCCTTTTTAATAAGTAATGGACAAGATGTATTAGTAACCGGCCTCTACACTCTTTCCCAAGACTCAGCTCTCAGGGAGCTCTTTCATTTATTACACTTCATAAATATTCATGAAAATTGGCCCCAACATTTCTTTACCATCTTCTGTTTGAACTGGGCCAGCTGTGCCCCCAGGCCCTCTGGAGTCCCAGGTGTCCCTTCCCTGGGTGATCGCCTGCTTCCCAAGTCCAAGAGAGGCTCTGCCTCTAGTCTGTTGGTGATCGATGCCTGCAGGGCGTCTGGCAGCCGAAGATCAGGTGTGTGAGGCCTTGGGCTCACCCATCTCCAAGGCAGCGACCATCTGTGGCTCACTTGGGCCTCTGCCTTCAACCCATCCCCACCACTCTCCCAGGTCAGACCCTGGACCTTTCTCTGTTTGTAAAGGAACACGTTTAAGAATGTTGACACTCACTGAATAGATGAAAACACTAATTCTTTTCTCTCTTCTTAACAGACACGAGACGACTTCCTGGGACAGGTGGACATACCCCTTAGTCATCTCCCGGTAAGAACGGTTGCGCTTCATCTACACAGACTGTGTTTCCATGACTTTGGTTATGGCTTTATAACACATGCAGTGAATGGCAGTTTGTCTGCAATTCAGGGTTATTTTCAGGGCATTATTTCCTCCACACTGTGGAGAAGGCTGAGATGAAGCACAGATACTGTGAGCCTGACCCCTTCTAGAAGGTGGTCCTTTTAAGAGGCTAGGAGATCACTTAATTGCAAAAACCAGGTGTCCTTGAACCATCTACAGATACCTATCAGTGTCGCCAGCTACTTTCTTATCTCATCTTCCTTTGTCACATCGTACAAAACAGCTGCCTGCTTCTGCCAAACCCCTTCTCCTTGTCACTGGAATGTCCTTGCTTTCAAGTTCATCCTTTGGCTCTCATCACGTGTGTGTTCCCTTTGTCTGGAATTGTACACACTGTTTCTCCTGCGCTTCATCTACACAGACTGTGTTTCCATGACTTTGGTTATGGCTTTCTCGGTCACAGAGACAAAAGAAAAGATGCTATTGGTTCTAAGTGAACTTGTCAGCTGGAAAGACTCTGGCTTCAGAAACTGTCCTGGGTCAGCACATGTGCTGTTGCTAGTAATCCTCTGTGCTCAGACATGTAGCAAAAGGACGGGGACTGTTGACCATGACTGAGCTGGAAGGTGACTCCCACGTGTTCCAGTACCAATCAAATGGGGGGGCCAAGGCCTCCCTGGGTGAAAGGTAAATGACCTTGTGTTCCAGCTCCCCACCTTGTCCCAGGCGCATCATGAAGCGCCCGTACACACTGTTTCTCCTGCGCTTCATCTACACAGACTGTGTTTCCATGACTTTGGTTATGGCTTTCTCGGTCACAGAGACAAAAGAAAAGATGCTATTGGTTCTAAGTGAACTTGTCAGCTGGAAAGACTCTGGCTTCAGAAACTGTCCTGGGTCAGCACATGTGCTGTTGCTAGTAATCCTCTGTGCTCAGACATGTAGCAAAAGGACGGGGACTGTTGACCATGACTGAGCTGGAAGGTGACTCCCACGTGTTCCAGTACCAATCAAATGGGGGGGCCAAGGCCTCCCTGGGTGAAAGGTAAATGACCTTGTGTTCCAGCTCCCCACCTTGTCCCAGGCGCATCATGAAGCGCCCACAGTAGCACCTCCTCATTGTGCTCAGTTGTGCCTTACTCTCTGAGACACCATGGACTATAGCCCACCAGCCTCCTCTGTCCGTGAGATTCTCCAGGCAAGAATATGGGATTGGGTAGTCATTCCCTTCTCCAGGGGAATCTTCCCAACCCAGGGATCAAACCTAGGTCTCCTGCATTGCAAACAGATTCTTTACCGTCTGAGCCACCAAGGAAACCCCCACAATAGCAACTAAGAGAGAATAAGTCAAATGTTTCTGCCTTCCAAGGGCATTTTTTAAAATGCTCTATGTGAGCAAATAGCATAAATTATCTATAAACGAAAATGACGCAAACCACCTAGTATGAGCCTGCCGCTGTGTTGAAGCTGTAGCTGCACCCGCTGTTAAAGACCAAGAAAGACCGTCTTACCCAGGAAGCTCTTGAAGATCTGTTGTGAAGGACCGTGATGGCCAGCACTTTATTCCTGTTTCCTCAGGGGAGCTATTAAGGACAAAAGGTTTTTGAAGCTCGTTCCCTTCCCAAAGATTGGAAACAGCAGTAATAACATTAGAATATCTTTGTTTATTTCTGCATAAAAACCTGAAGCTCCAAGATGCTTTCGGAGAGTGGTCATGCTCAAGACGGATTCCATGAGCCTTCAGAACACTGATTGTCCTTTTACGGTCCCGTTGAGAGCGTAGGGATATCTCCGCTTTTGTGCAGAAAGATTGTTCATGTGTTTCTACATCAGTGGGTCTTCCCTCCATGCTCTTCAGGTTGAAGCTGTAATCACTTCACATTTTTAGACAGTGTTAGTTGCTTGGGCACTTCTTACATGGGTGTCCCCAGCCACCCTTTTCCCTAACATAAAAACCACATCACAGGGACTTTAGTGGTGGTCCAGTGGCTAAGACTCCATGCTGTCAATACAGGGGGCCCAGGTTTAATCCCTGGTCCGGGAACTAGGTCCCACATGCTGCAATTAAGACCCAGCACAGCCAAATAAATAAATATCAAAACACACACACACACATCACGGTCAAGGAAAATTATGTGCTGATATTGTCCTAAGAGGTGCAGCTGGAATTTTTGAACAGCTTGCTCCAGCAATTCCTTGTTTGAGAGAATGAGTGCCGATTGGTTTTGAAAGGTTGAGGGGAACTCTCAGAGGATAGAAGAGTGTTTTCTTTTCAGAGACTAAGTCGGTAGAGAGAATATTTTTTACCTTTGGAGTTGGGTGGAGGCAAGAGTGAGCTTTCAGAGAAGGAAAGGCTCCAGGCCAGAAGAGAAACCAAGTGGTTCATGAGTGGAACAGTGAGCACTCAGAGAGGACGGAGGACTTGCCCGTGAGCTGAGCCTGTTGAGTAATGGAGCCTCCCAGTGTTGAATCTCCAGGATGAGTGTGCCCTGGAGCACCGTGTCTTCTCCTTAAAGCTGACTGGCTTTGTGGAGCCCAGGACAGTCCTCAAGATGGATCACACTGGAAGCAAGAGGAGAGGTGGAGGTGCGTTCTTCATCCTCTAAGCGGTTGTGGAACCCAGCCAGCGTGTTCTTAGTGGACTCGGCTTTGGCCCCAGGATTTGAGGTGCTCTCAAGTGTATGTTCGATCCTTTGTGTAGGACACTCTTGGGGAAATTGCACAGTTAATGTTGTATAACACAGCTGTGAGTATGTAAAATGGATGCTAGCATTTGAATATATTCTGTGGGTAGATAATGGATGCTATTTTCTTAATAGCTACTTGACCACTGTCAAGGCTATATGGCCTGTGGATTCAGTGATTTTTAATATCATCAAATTTTAGGTGAAAGAACTTAGGAAAGTTATCTCATTGGTCATGAGAGAAGGTAGTGCAGAGCAGTCCTATGGTAGTGAAGTGCTAACCAGGCCTTCTCAGACTTTAAGGAATCAGATTGGGTATCTGGTTATTCATTAATTCCGTACAGCCCCATTCTCTGATAGCAGATTTATTCTTTTCACGGATGTTTGCTGATTTAGACATGATTCTAATCTCTGAGGAAAAATCAGTGAAGCAAGTTCCTCCCTCACGTGTCTCAGCAGGGCCACCATCGCCATAAACACATGTGTTAGTCGAGCATTTGAAATGTGGCTAATGTGACTGAAGAATGGAATTTGTCATTTTATTTCAAGTCATTAAAATTTATATTTAAAAGCTACATGTGGCAATATGGCACCCTCTTAGTTGGCTCAGCTGAGATCAGACCAGACTTCCCCAGCTTAGGTGAAAGCTGTATGGTTCTGAATTCCCTTCTCCTGAGCTGATAGTTCTGCCTATTGGAGAGAACTGAGGGTGGAGGGATTCTAACATGCAAGTTTTGCATGTGTGTACTATCGCTTCTGCCGTCTCCGACTCTGCAACACCATGGACTGTAGCCCACGAGGCTCCTGTCCATGGGATTCTCCAGGCAAGAATACTGGAGTGGGTTGCGATGCACTCCTCCAAAGGATCTTCCCAATCTGGGGATAAAACCCATGTCTCTTTCATCTCCTGCATTGGCAAGTGGATTCTTTACCACTAGCCAGAATTATCAGTCAGGATTCAGTTTTTCCCCCCTACCTGAATGCATTTGCTGGGGGATACTGGCATTTGCAGTGTAAAACCATGTTCTTAAGTGCTTAGGAATGTCTCTCCTGAGCTGTCCTCACTCAGACCTGTTAACTCCCCGACCTCGAGAAGCCTACCCGGAAGACCAGAGGGTCAGGGCAAGCCTACTACCGGTTTATTCTGGTTTAAATGCAGACCCGTCGGTAGACACACAAGCCAAGTTATATGCACTTGAGTATCTCAGAGCACTCACAGCAGTGGTCCTCGGCCCACTGCCCACCGTTGGGTCCCCGGATAATCAACTGTGTGCTCTGCTGGGCCTTGGGCGCCATTGGGATGGTCCGGGTTGGAATTCTGCTGGGGAGACAAGTGAAGGAGGCCCCTGCAAACAGAGAAACAGGGCCGGGAGGGCTGTGTGAAGCTGAAATGAACTCTGCATTAAAGCATCAGTACTCCCGTCAGCGACCACAGTGGCCCCAGGAGGCCAGCGTCAGCTCCATTTTTGCCCTTAAACAGGAGTAAAGAGACATGATGAGAAGGAAAAGTGACTTCTTTCCCCTCCTCTGATCATGAATTCCCCAGTGTTTTATCAAATGCTTCCAGATGAAAGAAAGTGATTTTGACTTGTCACTCACTTTCATTCTTGGCTCTCAGGTCAGTGCTCCCAGTTTTATTTGTGAACGGGGGGAGGGGAGGATAAGAAATGGACCCAGGGAGTTCAGAATGGTAGGGACCTCTGTTTCCTTGTCTTCTGTTCCAAATATGCCACTCATCTTTAATTTTTTTTTTTTTCCATTTTACTTAGTATTGAGTGTGCATGCATGCTAAATCGCTTTAGTTGTGTGCAGTTCTTTGTGACCCTATGGACCTTAGCCCCTCCCGCCCTGGGATTTTCCAGACAAGAATACTGGAGTGGGTTGCCATGCCACCTCCACGAGATTTTCCTGACCCAGGGATCCAACCAGCATCTCCTACATTGGCAGGCAGGTTATTAAACCACTAGCGCCATCTGGGAAGCCCACTGTTGAGGTTGGGAGTGAGTAAAAGAGGAGGGAACAGGGAGAGTAAATAAGGTTAGTCGTCTGACCTTTTATGCAGATATGAGAATTAACAAAACATAGATTTCTATTCACAGAAGTCTCCAAATGTCAAGCTTTAAAAAACCTCTCAGGAATAGTTGACTGGGAGCCTGGAGATGGGCAGGTTGCCTTGGTAACCTTGATAAGTTAGTAATCCTTTACAGGACTCTTGTTTGTCTCACCTATAAAACGAGAGCATTCACGTAGATGACACCAGGTTTCCATCCAGCTCTGTGAAAG